CCTCTTGTCTGCTCAATTCCACTCATTTTTAAAATTAGAATGACAAGAGCAGCAAATTTATCACAGCATTATGGTCTTGTCAAAAAGAATATGCAATAAGAAATATAAATAACTAAATATTTTTGAATATACTCGCAGGAAAGAATAAAATAAAAAATTTTTTGACTTACCCGCGTAAATATCGACCGCCACGCATCCTCTGCCACTCAATGTATCGCAACATTTTTCTGAACCTGGGCAATCACTGTCACTGCGACACAAGCTTTCTCTGAACGAAAACAGTTTGTTCCCTCTATCACGTTCATTGGACACGTCTGGACAGTGCCCTGGTTTCGAAAATGCAGAAAATGCTGATCCTGTAAAATCTTACTTCAGTTTTGAGTTTATCAGTTAATATATAAGTTAATATATCTTGTACTTTCGCTTTCCAGTAATAGTTGCACCTAACCATATGTGTTCATTGGATTTATGATAACCAGGCTGAATTTTTCACTTTGCCTTCAATCCTTTTGCACAACAATTTCACCCACAGATACCAAGCTGTTATTCGAACGACGATTTCTTATCAGTGACCTGCGAACGATTGAGGCAAAGTTATTCTCAGATGTAATTCACTCTGTGGTGGTTGTGGCACAGATAGAATGTTCGGGCGGTGTGTCACTCAATTGGCTGTATCACGTTTCTGCGGATCCGATATCCTTACAGTATGAACTTGAGTTCTTGTACGTTTTTCACGTCTCTCTGCACCAGTTTTGACGGCGTAGACAATGCAGTTACTCAAAGAGTACAAAGAAAGACCCATAATTTTACCAGTAGAGCGTTATGGTCTTTACACTATAATTGTTCTCGATGTTTTCCTCCCGAGAACGATATAAATAACAGCCGAAAATATTAGGCAATTTTTCTGATTGGTAGTGGTTTGATCATTTCGTTCAATGTTAAGAGACCCCTAACCGCATTTCAGTGGAGAAACCCATCAGGTCAGAAGTCAGAATGAACAAAATGAACAGATCAGAAGGGAAGAAATATTTTTGTTTCTTGTTGTATTGATGCCATTAAATTCAATCGTCCATAAAATTCTGTATTCCAGCCAAACGTTTCAGCAAAATCACATTGTGCATCATCAGGACTTAAAGAAATTGCCTTAGAGGTCATATGCTGATAATGAACATTCTGATGTTGTTCCAAATGCCGGCTACAGAATTCTTGTCTGCACCTTTCCTTGTATCGATGACCATCGTGTCTTAAAGCTTTTATTTATAATGCTTCATATAGAAAAATATCTATACCATTTAAGATAGCATACTCGTTTCAGTGGCAAACAGAGCATTAACTTAAAAACGATGCAGATATGAAATATGTTTACCCCGTTGGTCGTCTGGAAAGACGCAGATTCGGCCAAAGGTTGTTTCGCAGCATTTTTGTGGTTCTGGACATTCATCGTCATACTGGCAATGGGCACCAAGGCGGTGCCGTGAGTCTACCATGCCACCAGAAATTGGACAGAGTCCGGGTCTTCTGGAGACAAGCAACGCTAAACATGACATTGATTTCACTATTACCCAATAAACTCTGTGTGACAAACGATCACTTTTTAAATGATTGAGCAGTTTTCATTCATAAGAACATAAGCCATGCGTTTATTAAAAAAGAAAAAGATCAATTCTGTGAAAAGCGCCATTTTGAAGCTGCTTCAAATCATTTCAAACTCTCCACCTTCTTCAAGACAATGGCTTTAGACGTGATACAAAAAACTTTTCTAATCACACATCTCCAAACAATTCTGGACCCTTACTGGAGATTATTTTACACTCCTACGGCAATGTTTAAGGGCAATCTCTATATAATGAGGACTATAATGCGGCATCTTGGGAAATGCTCGAATGATTGTGCTTCTGAAGCTCAACGG